AAAAAAAACAAATATAGATACAAATAAGGAAAACTGTTCAACCTTATCATAATGTGAAAACGAAGGAACTATTTTAAAACTCCAAGACGGCGGTGTTAATTCTGCAGCAAATATTTGCTGTCGACGTATTACCCTTAAAATATCCTTCTATAATGTCCAAAATTTTATTTTTATACATTTATATGTAATGACGAATTGTTTGTGTATGTTACAGAATCGATCCAAAACCGCAGCAGTCATAATGAAAAAATTATCAATTAACACCATATTATTATATTATTATATTCAACAAGTAAGTTTCACGGGAGTTATTACTAACATAATAATAATATGTAAGATTAAACGTAGTACCTACGTTAACATTAAAATAAAATATCAAAACGCACCTTTGCTTCTCCGTAAAAATTATACGTTTTCAAGTATGTCCCTAACGACAACATACTGCACTGTGGGCACGCTACGCTACACGATTTTTCCATCAACTTTAGCATGTATATGAAATCTTCTGCGACGTAATGGTCGTCTTCCAAAAATAAAATCGGACCTGAAAATGGCATACAAACGATATATAGACGATGTATAGTTCGACCATTTCGTGGAACGTTATCACGTAAAGATGTTAAAGCCTAGAGACAACCCCCTCCCCCCTCCTTCCACAAATAATGCACTCACAAACAGAAATATAGTAGAATGGCTTTTTTTTTTGATTCTAGAGAGAGATCACAAAAATTATTAATTTATTCAAAGATGAGAAAGCAGGCAGCGTCGTTACTAAGAATTTGGATACAAAGTATCCTGCGATGGCGATAACAACTTTTTTTTTTTTAAATTATGATCACCTCTTTTTCATGTAAGTAGCGAAGCAAGCTGTTTTGTTGAAAATGTTGACGTACCTATCAAATTTGATAATATATGATGAACGTTTAGTTTATGAGTTATTTATTTTTGTATTTGTTAAGAATAGATTTAGAAGTGGCGGCTGCCATGATACGAAAATCTATAATAATTTATTAACAATATTAGAATTTTGTAAAAACTGTCGGCGTAGGTATAATAAGCACTATATYGAATACTACACATTTTTCAATGTTTGGTTGCAAGTTATTGTAAAAGATTGTTATCTTTAAGAACAGTCATATCCTTACAGTTTATACATTTTAACAAACTCAGAAACTACTCGTTCAATTATTGATTTAAATACATAAGTATAAACATTTYTAAAAAATGCACCTAATTCACGATTAACGATAAAATAATGTTAGTTTTAAATTTAAAAATAATAAATAAATATTGTATTGTCAAAGCCCGAAGGAGCTTAAATTGTGATGTGAAAAATAAGAATTTACATAAATTCATTGTTTAATGAAAAGAGGGGCGTTGGTCAATGGATCATGCTCGGTTCGTCCTATGCATAAAATAATGCATTATATTGTTATTTTTTTGAAACACTCCGCGTCAAAAATGAACCGACGTAGAGTATTAGGCCACCGCTAAAATGTAATATACACAATACGAAGTGCGTAATATTTCCACCACTGAATTCGCCCCRCACATTCGACGACCTGCAGAGGTAAGTGACTTAAGTCCGTTACATACCCGAGTAATTACTGACGACGTCCA